CAACATCTGGCCACCCGCCAAAGGCCTGAAACATACCTGGCGCTCACCCGGATCTCCACCTCTGTCTGTTCACCCCCCCACCCGGTTGTTTCCTGCCCCCTTTACCCCCCAACCTCCTCCCCCCTCCCGCAGACCTTGTTTCTCCCCTGGCGGGACCCCCAGCAGTAGCACACCCTCAGTTTAGCTTCTGCCTCGTCTTCTGCCCCAGTGCCCGTGCTGCACCGTGCACCATTGTGTGATAACAAACAGATGTTGTGGAATTTCCTCTGAATGGACTGCCAGTGACAGGCCTGCTCTCCCTTGTCTGGCACTGTGAGGGGGGGGGGGACTGCCTGTTCTCAGTTTGGCAAAGATGTTGGCCTAAATCTGCACTATTGTTTCCTCCGTACACATGTGTAACAATTTGGGTGTTGCAGGAGTGTGCGCAGGGGCCAGAGAGTTGAAAATCGGTGCGTGTGTGTATTTTTGAATATCAGATCTCAACTTCATTTTCTCATGCTTTTTTTTTTAAATCACTGACAGATTACAAATGTTCACAATCAGATGATCAGATTACCCCTTCCCCAATCTGCTCTTCCTCCCAAATGCCTCTATTCCCCACATATTTTACATCCATATTATGATGTGATATCTGCATTTTGCAAAAACACTCGGTTATTATTTTAGCTACACGTTAATTGGAATTCACACCATAATACTTGTGACATTTTGATAATCGCACTATTGACTGTTATGTCGGACAAACACTTTTGATTTTTTTCCCTTACCAAGTTGAGTGAGAAAAAGAGTGGGCATGAACATGATAATTTAAACAGCGAGATTCATTCACTCACTTTTCATCTTGAGTGGAGCATAGAGTGTCATTGAAAGTTGTTTTTTTCTTCTCAAGACTGACTGCAATTGCAAGTTACTGGTCAGAAAAGAATTGAAGTATTAATTTGCAAAAGTGTTAAATATATATTTTTTAAGCTTGTGGACATCTGTTTAATTTATCTAAATATCACTTGTGTCATTTAAAAAACACTTTTTAAATCATTCATATTTTATATTTTCAATGTCAAATATTATCAATTTTTTTTAGGAAACTTTGTAAAAAGTTGTTTTAATGAAATAACACACACACACATATGTCCTGCAGAAGCTTGAAGCCTAGTCTTGATTATTTAGTATATGGTATCACTGTATGAACACTTAACATTGATAATTTGACAAATAAAACGATGTCCAGTGAACGGATTCGCTTTTTTTGTTAAAGTAAAAAAATAATTCCTTCAAAGCTAAAAATCATACTGCAAACTCCTTTAATTCCAACACGATTTTAATCAAACTTAACCAACATTTGGGCATTTTCCTTCTGTCAAATGTGGCTTCATTGTGTGTCGATTCTTATTTGTTGCAGGACTGGTAACAACAACCAGTGAATTCTAAAGATGCAACCCAGCCTTCTCTCGATGCATGACCTCATGAACAACATAACATAAGAGGTACAAATGCATATTCATAGGCCAACTCTTTACCAAAAGGCCTCAGTGTTATGTATCTATCTGTGTGTGAGTGTGTGCGTGAGAAGGGGTTACTCAGGATGAGCGCTCTCGTTTTTAAACGTCCTGGATAATGAACAGATGCTGCAAAAATTAGGAAAGAAACATCGACTCCTCCCAGCAGTGCCACTTTGGCCCGGTGAACTGGCACACTGGCGCACACACTGGGTTGTCCTCTCCGGAGCTCCTGGTGCTGCTGCTGGGGAACATTAAGGGACTTGGCACGGCTCCCCTTCGCCAGCCTGCCAGCCTCTCTCTCCCACTCTCTCCGGACTGTGGAGGAAGAGGAGGTGGTGTGAGGGGGTCGGGGAGTATTTTGATAGATGCCCTCTCCTAATGCAAGCTCGCTGGCCTCTCTTTTGGGCTTGCTACTCCAGAACTGCAAGCAACTTTTTTTAATTTGCTGATTAGGGCAAAAAAAGGAAGAGTTAGAGGCCTACAACTAAAAAGTGTAACACAAGCATTTGGTTGTTGGGTTAAAAAATGGCCTGTACTGCAGAGCTGCGGGTTTGATTCCCAACCTGGAGTTTGTAATGAATTAATGAACAGGTAGGCGCCTGCCAATTGCTGAGGCCAAAGTAATTTAAGAAAGTGGTTTGAAATTAACCTAAAAACAGAGTTGTTTTAAATAAATAAAATAAAAACGAAATGTATATCTGAATGTATTCCCTGATTAAAAAGTATACAAGTATTTCACGGACTATAGGCTATACTATCAATCGTCTTGCCATGACGATGAGATTTAATAATTATAATATGTCTGCTCTTTTATGAAGTGCAAAGAACGAAATTCACAGTAGCATGAACCCACAAGTGTTATGTGTAAACTTGACCTATAAAACCTTCGGATATATTTCATAGTTTATATACTTGTAATTGTTAAAAAGTTATTATAAGGGTAATTTCCATGCCTTATAGAAATAAGCAGATACCACAATATCAAATATTCCAAAGACTGCCCACAATTGTTGAAATGATCATATTTATCCTACATTCTGTAGAATTACTTAGCTTAAACTATTTAGAAATGTATAAATGTTTTCTTTGTCTTATGCACAAGCAGTGATTTACTTCTTTACCATCGAAACTTTTAAACCTGCATATAAAGAGATTCATTTCTTATAGACAAGAAAAACATTGCTAGAAAAATCGCTAAATCAGTTGATCCAGAAAAGATGCTCCTCTTTGAAATTAAAGGCTATTTATACATGTTTATATAATTGATTATCAACATTACACGATTAGTATTGAAGCTTTCTGGGCCAAAACCCACAGCTGATGATGCCCACGCAGATTTATTTGGAATACAATGCAAAATAATCTGAGTTAAAATATTGGAGCTTCTGATATTAATATTCGTATTTACATTGGTCAGCACTCGCCATCCAAAGCGTGTGTCCCTACAGTAGAGAGCACCCAGGACATTTTGGGTAACATATGGGTCCCGGGGCAGCGCTCCAAACTCAGCCGGGGTGGCAACGGCTGCCCTTTGCACTGTGTGTGTGCGTTTGTGTGTGTGCTGTGTTTTTGTGTATGTGTGGTCGCCACATTTTAAAAACTGATATTTCAGTTTCGTTTATGAACGAACAGTTAAAAACGTACCTATCCTATGGTACGTAAATGCTTGTGAGAGTGTTTCAACAAACATAGTTATTTAATTGATTTAAACAACCTCGGATAAATAATTCCATATATTTATAATGCCTTCCAAATCGATGTTTAAATGTATGACATAAATATGAGATGTGTGTTAAAAGTAACAAGAGGTGTAGCGAAGGGGGGTCGTCTTCATAATTCATATGTGATGTTTAATGCATTATCGAGAGATGGAAATCTAAGATAAAAAAATGAATATTTACATTTTGTCAGTTGGCGTCAAAGCCGTAAAGTTCATTTTTGTGTTCACAGATTCGAAAGGATGAAAAGTAACGATTTTCTTTCAACAAGTATCTACTCTTAAATTAACACACATCTCCTGATTTAGGATTATGTTTTTCTTTAATTATTTGTAGCCTATCTTAATTTGTCTTGATGTGACATTGGCTTTCCTTTCCTGTCATTTCTTGTGCATTGACGAAACACCTGCAGAACCATGTGTGTTCTGGAGATGTTGGGTAGTGTGTTCACTAAAGCAATATGATAATGATAATCCTATTATTAGTATTGTTAGCCAAACACATACTGCCTACAATATAGATTGTTTGGATTTGTATCAATTTGAAGCTCAAACCGTCTGAATCAGCGGGGGCTGCAGGAGCTCTCCGCTGTGCTGAAACACATGTGACTTCTTGTCTTAACGGTCAAGATCATATGAAGCTGACTTCAGTTATTTTCCTGATGAAATACAATGCAGTGTTTGCAAACATTTAACATGCACTATTTGAATTATTGTCCAGATTTTAATAAGCGTATATTAACCAACCAAATCTGTTTTCCTCCTGCAATTTAAATCATTCTATGTATTTTCAAAGACAGCATTGTAAATTAAAGCTGTGTGCCAAGGGTAAATTACGCATTGGCACCAATTTGCTTCATCTTGAAGAACGACAGCATTAACCCTCTTCCTCCTGTCCCAGTTTACAACATAAAGGCCCTGAGGCTCTGTGAGGGACTCCTGCAGGTTGTGGCAGCAGGCATGTTCAGCCCCATTTTCTCCAATAACAAAAAGCCTGCTGCAAGTTCATGTTTTTCTTTATCCTCATATTACAAATGTCCTATTTAAATTCAATGGAAGAAAACGAATGAATTAATTGAAAAGTAAATGCTTATAATAAAGTTGGTTAATGTTGAATGATTGATAGAATACCAAGGCTTTTCGATAGGTGACAAAGAATCAAGTTGCACAGTCTCATTTATTCTTGTTTTATTTTACCACACAGTTGGTTGAATACAAAGTTGACTTGAATTTTATGAAAAAATGCTTAGCAACACATAGGATCCCTTCAGTTCCATTGACTATTACCTTTAATTACAAAGAAACAACACAATAAATACGTGCAATAATAATAATGATAATAATAGTAATCATATTTCAACATAGCACTGCAAATCAAAACGAAAAGGTTTAACCAAAATGTTGATTTGAAACCAAAATACGGTGCAATGGCTCAAGAAGAAGAATACGGCTAATATGAATAAATTAGAGTGAATACAATTATAAAATACATGTTTGATTTAGATTTTTTATTTTTTTGGAAACCGAACGATTATGACCAGCCCAGCCATTGTCAAAATTGGTGTGTGTGTGTGTGTGTGTGTGTGTGTGTGTGTGTGTGTGTGTGTGTGTGTGTGTGTGTGTGTGTGTGTGTGTGTGTGTGTGTGTGTGTGTGTGTGTGTGTGTGTGTGTGTGTGTGTGTGTGTGTGTGTGTGTGTGTGTGTGTGTGTGTGTGTGTGTGTGTGTGTGTGTGTGTGTGTGTGTGTGTGTGTGTGTGTGTGTGTGTGTGTGTGTGTATACAGTATCTTTTTGGGCCTTGTTGCCTTGCTCTGTGGTCTCGTTGGCTTTTGCATAGATGCGAAATGAGTGATTTGCTGCAGGCTTTTCTTACACAAAACAAACAGCACTTTTTTAAATCAGTTCAGCATTAAACTGTGCATTTCTATATATTTCACTATTTCCAAAAACCAAATCTCGCACGTACAGACGATTTGCATTTTGTTGTTCATTGACTTCTTTTTGATTTTATAATAGAAAGTCACCGCCAATGTCAAGGTGTAGCTGTAGCCAGTGATGTAGTGGTAAATAAATAAGTGGGTACACTTTCAGTCATCAAAATGCAAACAACCACCGATACACACACAAGTTACACTTTAAGAAACATTAACATTTTTGTCTTAATATGATTTGCTCAGCAAATTTCCTTTTAGAGATTTATTTCAGCTTGATTTAAGCTGTTGTACAGAATCAGATTGTGGTTTAGGTGGATGATCTTCCACTACATCTCTGACTATAGCTTAAGAAATAGTAAAGACGGGAGAAATAAAAGGAAAATACTAATGACAACAAGTGAAACATCTCTCCAGAATGCCTGAATCCTGGCGGGTAAGCTTGTTAGAAAAGTGTGCCGTGGTTAGATTGTTGATTGCAGGGCTGCACGGTGGGCTTCTCATTTTAATTGTGAAAAAACGCGTTCAGTTCGTCATACACCGGAGCACGTTCGTGATTTAAGTGCATGTCGTGGTAAGGCACGACGTTTTCAGAGTGAATGCCGCTCCGGGCTCCAGAAGAGCCAAACACTAGGTTGTGGGGCCCGGGGGGTCTGGAGCCAGGCAGGCCGGAGTAATGCATAGAGTAGTGGTACCCCTTCTCGTTCTCGGGCGACGCAGAGCCTTGTTGCTTCAGGGAAAAGTTGCCATTATTAACGCACAGAGGCGGGCTGAGGGGCGCCTCATACTCAGGGCTGTTGTACTCCGGGGATCCGCTCCCACCGTACACCGAGTCGTAAGTCGAGTAGCCGTGCGTCCTCAGTGGATGCGAGTTCGAGTTCGAGGCCGAGCCCGAGCCCGGCTGGCAGTGGGGGCTGGAGAGACGCGCACACTGGTAGGGGTAGGAGTGCATGGAGAAGGAGCCGGAAGCGTACCGGCTCCCGTCCGGACACTGCTGCTCGGTTAGGAAGTTACGGGAGTTTAGCTGCAAGCACCCCGCTACCAGGTTGGTCGTGGGCTGGGAGAGTCCCTTGCACAGCGTCTGGACGTAGGCCACAACGTCGGGCCTTTTTCCAGAACGCAATATCTCCGATAAAGCCCAGATATAGTTTTTGGCCAAACGCAGTGTCTCAATTTTTGAAAGTTTTTGCGTTTTGGAGTAGCAGGGAACCACTTTACGCAGATTGTCAAGTGCAGAGTTCAGGTCGTGCATTCGGGTCCTCTCCCGTGCGTTGGCCTTTGTCCGCCTCACCTTGGTGCGCTCGACACGGGCCGGGGTCATTTTTCGTTTTTTGGGCCCTCTTTTCTTGGGCATGTCCCCCTCTATCCCTTCTTCGTCTTCCTCTTCCTCTACCTCGTCGTCGTCGTCGTCCTCATCGTCTTCCCCGGCATGCTCGGAGTGAGTCCGGCTGCTTCCTCTCAGCTCTGATCCCTCGTCGTCCTGGATGTCCTGATCATCATCTTTCCTTTTCGAATCCTCCTCATCGCTGTCCTCCGCCCAGCCCGAGTATTTCTGCACATCGGGGAGCAGCGATGGGTCACTGAAAAGCCTCGTCAACATTATGGCTCTAGAGAGGAGAGAAAGGAAAATCAGGCCTCAGGAACACAGGCAGAACAGCTCAATGTCGTATGGTAATATACAATAAAAAAACGAAGATATCTATATCATGACTGTTGCAGAAAAAACGCAGTCGTATGAGGTTAAATTCACTATTGCGCACGTGTAAACATCCACATATTGGTATTATCGAAGTTCCACATATATTTCAAATTGTAACGTCACTAAAGCTCATCATGAACAAAGTGACTTTTGTCATAAAATATATCAGAGACGTGTTTTTTGCCTAAAGGACAAAGTGTTAATTTGGGGGAAATAAAAAAGAGATCGACTTCAGCTCTGAAAGCTTTGCGCTGAGTTACAGCCAGACGGATCCCCATTTAATTCCCTGCTGTCATCCGTGTGCCCTGTCGCGTCCTCTCGCAGCGGGTCCCCACGGCAGGGGCCACATTACAGGTCCCATGGGGGCCCCCACTTTCACTCCTCCTGACGCCCATATATACTCCTGGCTGCATTCCAGCACTATTCATCCACACCATACACCTCTCCTCAGAGGAGGCAAAGGGGATTTTATTTAATTGATAGGCTGTAGCTCCGTTTAAAGTCACGCTGATTATTAAATTAAGGCTTACAGACAAACTGTAAAAAGGCTTTTAAATGCATGGCTATAAGCAAGAACAAGCCTACAATTATGATTTACAACTTGGAAAAAAAGTCAAAATTGAATTTGAATAATAATCAAAATAAGAACAACAATGTTTTTAAACGCAATAGTTATTCTAAGCTATTTCCAAAATTGCACTAAAAATAATTCAAGGCTCCATTAAAACGAAACATAACGAAATGTATATTAACCATCCACAATTGAATACTAAGAAAAAGTGTTAAATCATCAATCTAAAATTCACCCAAAAAGTAGAGATTAGCCTACCACTTGATTAGTAAATGCGGTCCAATCCAGAAAAAATGGCTACTGAGAGACGAGGTGATCTTTGACAGCTTCAATAAGCCTCCATTGGCTTCCCCTCTAACATGTTTCACTTCCCATCTATTATTATAGTGCAGCAGGAGACAGACTTGCAGCACAGAGTAAGGTAGGCTGTGATGGTTGGCTAATTATCTTGGGGGGTGTGCCAGGGGCAAAATCTAGTTTTTACATCTCAGGCTCAGGAGGTTTGCTCAATTAGAAGAAAAAAACACAACAACGTTTAATTAACAGACCATGCAGCTACACGAAATAGATTTCACACATAATTCAGTATGCACGAGTGCGTGATTTCAAAGCACTTTTTAGGCAGCGATAACCATTCACAGATGGAAATCCCATGTATCCTTTTAGCCCTCGTTAAATATAAAAACATAACACAATTATTCAATCTCGCAAAAAAGACTGCAATAGCCCCCCTTCAACGGAACGTCTGTGGTTCAGACAATGTTATGTCGAGATAGATTGTTGAAGATAAAACTAGACAAACAGAGATAAATCATGCTGCACACTGCTTGTCACAGTCAATGGCGTTGTCCCACCCTTTCATTTGCTCCAAGATTGAACGTGCAAATCATCGACAAAATCATCAATAAATATCCCATTAAGCTCGAGGACGTCCTTAGCTGAGGCAATTGTGCTGATGTCAAAATCTACCACGAATTGTTTTAATCTTGCATATGTCTTTTGTTGCTCTGATTCAGCTTCCAGACGCAGGAATCTCTAAATCAAATTAGTGTCCGGTATGATCTATGTACAGCCTGTGTGATGCTGTACGGGGCTACTCCATCCTCAGGACTTCTCCTTGTAAATAATCCTGGAGGAACAACAACCGGGACCAGGAGACGCTTGCCTTTTGACTCAAGCGATGTATTTCATAATAAGCTTTTATAATCCAAGTAGATTTGGATGTCAAAAGTTGAAGGGCACGCAGAGGGAGATCGGGGTGCGAGGAGATATAAAGCGATCGCTCTCACACGGACAGCTAATAAAAGACAAACATGGAAATGCCTTGTATATCCATTGATTGCATTTTGTTTTATTTGAATGTATTTCAAAGTGTGCCATCACCAGATTTAAATAAATAAACGTTGATCAATACCATCTAAACGTTACATTTCCAAATGGATTATTGCCAGTGGCGTTTTACCTTAAAACTGTAAAAGATAAAAAGGTTTTAATTCCTCAAAACGACTGCAAATACCTCAGAACTGTGTTAAACATAGATGACAACTTTGCAATAATAGCCTGCATTTGTTTATTAGATAAATGTTCTCCATTTTGGACTCAAGCATCCAGGTTTTATTTAGTTTTTTGTATTTATTCATTTATTTATTTTAAGCTGTTATTGTTGATTGTGATTCAACTTACCTCGGCTCGAGCTCTTCACAGGGGGTGGGAAGAAAAAACGCGCTTGAGTTTCAGACCATCTTCAGGGACCGCACGAGCGAACCAACGCTCCCTGTGAGTGTGTGGGTGCAAGGCAGCGCGCGGATGGGTTGTTTAGGGGTGCTTCTCTCCCAGCGCGCACACTCCAATAACCGGAGCTCGTGAACTGAACGTGCGTCTTGGCGTGTCTGTGTGTATATGAGTGAGAGAGTAAGTGAGCGTGTGTCTGCATGTGTGTGTGAGTGCGCGTGTGGCAACCGTGAGCTACCGGGGACGGGGTTACATACCAGCTAAGACTGCGATGCCAGCGCCCATATGGCTGGCACGTCACCGGCAAGAGCCATCACATGAGAGCCCGGTGATTGACATGCGCCCGCATTCGCAGAGATTTGCCCGCGGGGGAAGAGAGACATAGAAAGAGAGAGGGAGAGAGAAAAAGAGAGAGAGAGAGAGAAGGAGGAGGAGGTGGAGGAGGAGGAGGAGGAGGGCTCCGCCATCTGTCACCGCGCTAGAGCTCACACAAAAAAAAAGGAGTAAAAAACAGAAGAGAGGGAGAAAATAAAATGGTGGAACAACAAAACTCATCATTGTTGACCTGTGCTGCTGCTTCAAGGGATGTAGACTATTTATTTTATTTGTAATCAAACCTGTGAATTTTCTCGTTCACCTGCCAAACCCACCCGTCAATGTTTAATCCAATTAAGCTTCCCAGATATCCCTCAGTCCCAATGAGAACGATAATAGTGATATTATAGGTGTTAAACACGTAAGATAAGGCCACATTTATTTAATAGGGATTTTAGAGTGATTAGTCCTCAGGGTCTATAAGGCATCTTTTCATTAAGTAAAAATAATAAGCCCCAAGTCATAATGTTCTGCTATAAATCATATCAAGCTATTAACTCCTGTCAAATATTTATTTTCTCATACACAAGTTTTAGAATTGCTACATGTAATGTAATAAAATCCAATCTTCAGCTGATAAAAGGTGGGTAAACTGGGTTTAGTTTCAGGGTGTACCCTCCATCACATCTCTGGTTCAGAAGCAGGTTGGGGGATGGGGATGCATTATAAGTGCATTAAGGCCAGGGAACAGAAGGCATATTGTTTATTTATTTACCTAATTGGATCAAATTATGCTTCAATGTATTCAGAGTAACAACAAACCAATTATGATTTGTTCTGACTCTTGTGGGCACAACAGGGCCGCAGATGACCCACTTGCCCAAGCTGCGAATTAGTCCGACTGAAAGGAATATTATAACACAGGCCTCTGCTGCATGTGTGTGGATTGGTGCTCATGAGGTTAAGTGTGAAGATCAAATGTTCACTGGTAGCTGTGTCCGAATGTGCGAGGTTTGCCAGAGCTGCTGCTGGTGTTTCAAGCGTGCAGAGCTGAGAGAGGGGCGCCTGCAGGGGCCACACGGAGAGACACAGTGAGAGTGAGACCCAGGTGTGCAGGCCCACTAGGGATGTATGAAAAATGAGGAGGAAGGGGGGTTTCGCTATAGATGACAGGGGATTGGAGCTGGCAGGAGCTGGCAGAGGTGCCCAAGATTTAGGAGGAGGCATGTTGGCATACAGTGGTGGCTGCATGAATTCCTCACCACCAACATCTTAGTCCCTGTCTGCTTCGCTGCATTGTGTCCGTCCCAGCTTCGAGTTCTCTATTTAGCAGACATTAGTGGAGTTGATGTGGGAGAAATGAGCTCAATGACCACCAAGTCCAACTTGGCACAAAGACACCCACTGGACTTGGGGAACAGGGACATGGTGGCTGAGAAATAGCTGATAGAAGCTTATCATGTCCTTGGGCCAGGATCACCCCTACATCTCCTCGGCAGCCACAACTTAGGGAGCGTTTGGGGGGTTGCAGGGTCATCTGTGGGGTCACCAGTGGTTTGGCAGCTGTGGTTGGGGAGCCAGGATACTGCACATTCACTAATGTGTCTTATCCATTATGGGATGAGGGGATGGTAGCCTGGCACTACCCCAAATATGGTGGGATGATTGTGTCAGTGTCTGTGTGTTTGTGTGTTGAGGGGGGAGTAAAGGGGCATCCAGCTTCACTGCCAGCCAAATCCGTGCCCTATCCTACCTCAGCTGCACCAAGGAGGGGGGGGAGATGCTGCTGCCAGGGAGGGGATGATGCTTCTCAACAAGTCCCAAACAACCTTCAGGTCACCTTGCCAAAATAAATGCTAAATGTCAACAGTGTGGCTTTAGCCAGCGCCGGGCTAGTGGCGACTCCAATCAGGGAGGCTTTGATCTGATAGTGAAACGCTGGAGGAGAGCTTGTTTTTAATTATGATATTTTAGGAGGACTTTGCATCCTGTTTGTATGCAGATTAATCTTAAGTAAGGGCCACCTGCTCTGCTTTTTCATAGGCTAAATGCATGTCATCAAAATGCAAAATTGCAGCCCTTCCCCTTTAACATATCAAATTCTCCATCACTCTCTTTTTTCCCTCTATGGTCAAATGACACCCAATTGCCTTTCAAAGTCACCAAGCCACACCTCCGTACCTTTGTCATCTCCCCCCCCCCCCCTTTCTCCTCTTCTCACTGTCAGACATGCGAGGTGACGACCTGCACTTCACTTGTCTTTCTAGAAGAAGCGCAAACTTCTGCTGGCACAAATATAATACACACACACACACACACACACACACACACACACACACACACACACACACACACACACACACACACACACACACACACACACACACACACACACACACACACACACACACACACACACACACACACGCACGCAAATGGACAGCCCCCCCACCCCCCACCAGACTCCCGGACCCCATCTGCACTCTCCTCTCTCCAGCCCCCTAATTGCATATGCACAAATGCAAATGCCTATTAATTAATTACTTGACTAATTAGTGCAGTGGTATTTTAGAGCGATAAATCAAGTGGAGATGGGGCCGAGGACGGCGGGGCGGGAGGAGGGCTGTGCGGAGCATCCACAATGAACCCACACCAGAGGGAGGGCTCCTATTGTACCAGCCCTGTGTGGGAGTGGGCTGTGAAGAGGGTGTGTGCACACTGGATCTTCTGAAGTGAAGCACCATTTAAAAATTGCTGAAGTGCCCGAAAAGGTGACTGAGTGAGATGCGTACTCTCTGTCCAAAGAGGAAGTGAGAAAGATGAAGAGAGAGGATAAGACATGTAGGTTGCATATGAGAGATATGACCTCTGCTCTACCAACTGTGTTGTTTCCTGGCATGTGGCCAAGCTCGGAGGCTCGTTGTACCTATTTTCACAAAGGAGAAACCACCATCTACATATTATGACTGCTCCTACTGATGCATGTTTATACTGATATTGTACAATAGTTCAATGAGCATAACAGTTGGCATCATTTACGCAGTGATACTGATGTGATAATTGTGCATCTGTGACTGTGAGGTGAATAATTCTGGCAGCCGTGGTAAAGTGTGTGTGTGTGTGTGTGTGTGTGTGTGTGTGTGTGTGTGTGTGTGTGTGTGTGTGTGTGTGTGGTGTGTGTGTGTGTGTGTGTGTGTGTGTGTGTGTGTGTGTGTGTGTGTGTGTGTGTGTGTGTGTTGTGTGTGTGTGTGTGTGTGTGTGTGTGTGTGTGTGTGTGTGTGTGTGTGTGTGTGTGTGTGTGTGTGTGTGTGTGTGTGCTGTGTGTGTGTGTGTGTGTGCGTGCCTGTAGGTGTGCCAGGCCCCCACCATAGGTACCCGTGAAGATCTCCGGACTGAAATATTCATTCTTGTTTGCTCGCCCAGACAGTGTGGTCCTAATTGCAGCATCAGAAAGCTCCACCTCTCTTCTCGTCTCGTCTTGGCTGCTGTGGAGACAAACCTCATCTGGGAGCAGGATGCCTTTGTAAGTATGTGTGTGTGTGTGTGTGTGCACGTCCTCCGACATCCGTCCTTCTTTCTAGGGAGGGGAACTGGTGTTGGTTGATTTGTGCTTGGCTCGCTCTTCCTGTCACGTTCTCACTCATTCACAAACATGGCACACAAAAGCACATTTTCAAGAAAGCGTTTCACGCCCATCAAATTCATTCATCTTATCTGCGTGCATGTCACATTTTCTGTGGGTTTTTATTTACCTTCATACCTCATTCACTCTGCTTGTGTTGGAGTTTGGTTGACTTTTGATCATTGATCTGTCTGCCTGCCTGTCTGTCTCTGTCTGTCCCTCTGTCTGTCTCTCTGTCCATCCGTCCGCAGGGTGCGTATGAAGCTCTGGAGTTTTCCATCAGTTCCCGTGCCAACCCAACCCGTGCCTGGCCAGGCTGAACCATCTTGTGGGATTTTTGGCTTTTAATTATAGTAAGAGAGGATTAATTATGGCAGTGGAAACAAGGGGCCATGCATTATTGATGCTATGAGTGAAGGGCTGGAGGGGGTAGAGGGTGCTAATTAAATCACTGCCCTACTGCCACGTCCTCCTCTGTCTCTGCCTCCACCATGTCTTCCACCTGCTACATCTCAACACCCCACCCTACTTCACTGCTCACACCCACCCATACATATTGTCACTCAGACAAACATGCTCATGCATCTGTTGTTTTTTCTCACGCTGTTTTTCTGCATGATATTTATTTTTCGCCCAGCTCTACCTCGCTCAAACCTTCAAATCAGAGTTTACAAATATCTTCCACTCATCTCACCTTTCCAGGTATTGCACGCCTTTTCAATGTTTCCTTCACCTTCTTGGGTATCATTCATGAAGAATGTATCTCTTTATATCTCCATAGTATATCAGTTTGCAAGCTGCCAGATGATATTAATAGTGATTGGTCCATCCATGTAATGTTCCTCTGTGATGACATGTTTAAATCTGCTTCAATCCTAAATCAGCACCTCAGTTTCAATTTCAACCCCCGTTAAGAAAGCTCCATCCATTCAACACGGGAGCCAAAGTTAACAAAAGGCTGCCATCTACTGGATGTTATTTGTAATGATCAGCTTTTACATGTTTTACAACCATTCTGAGATAATTGTATAATCTGTATTTACACTTTTTAGTTGTAAGACCTCTGTCCATAAAACTGACCAACACGAAAATCTAATAGTTTCTGGAAAGCAATGCCTTTACTTTTATCGTGCCCTAAAAAATAACAGCATACAACTCCATCATTTTATACAATGTTCCCCTTCCAGAGAACTTACATAAACCGTATTGCCCATAATAAGGACCGATTAAGTAATTTTTACGCAAGAGAAGTTATCAGTTTTTCCAACCAGACTTTTTTTATGTGAAACAACACAAATTCTATAGACGTGTTGTTTTCCTTAGGGATATATTAAAGTCCCGCATGATTTGTCCATCTGAAAGGGCACCAAATCCTGTGCAGAGTGCAACCTAACAGACACTGTTCACACTGTACACAGTTCAACAACAGTCCACATATTTGCTCAAATAGTGCACTTTCTTTCTTCTGATGCCCTCTGGTCGTCTTATCTTCAGTCCATGTTTTTTGTCTTTTCTCCTATGTTCTCCTTATACTGGTGATCCCTCTCTTGATTCTCAGCATTCATCCCATCATGTGCTCTGTTGTCCCAACACATTCCTGATGGACTTTGGTTCCCTGGCATCAAACAATACAATGACAACAAGCTGAGGAGGTAATCCGCTGTCTATCCCTTTGTTTTTCTGCCATAGTTTCATGAAGAGTGCTTAGTGCACCTCTTGGGCTTCTGCAGAAGACGAACAAAGAAAAACATTATCGCACTTTCTAAGAAAGTTCTTCATTGTCCACATGTTACACAAAGAAGAGTCAATCAAACAAGAGTATTGACTTCTACATAAGTCAAAGAAGAGTGTTAAATAAAAAGAACATATCAAAGCAACGGGAAGATCAATACATTGCCTTAGAGAAAAGTATGATGAGTTTAATGAACTCAGATAAACTGACCTCTGGCAAAGATAACAAAAATATTCAATAGAATTTCATGAATGTTGACCTGCCATTCTAAATTGTAATAACCCCAACAGGACAGCAGATGGTGCATGTGCTTCCCTCATGAACAACACATTTCTACACAACCAGAAATGAAACTGCCTATAGAGCATCTTTTCCCTGTGTGTGTGGCTTTGGCTATTCATGCCGTACCTGTTTATTGTGTGATGGCATGTTGTATAACCAGATGGAGGGGGATGAGTGGGGAGTGTTGAATGACGGGCAATGCTTCTCTGTGTCCCTCAACAGAATTACCAGGACACCTGCTATGGCAGTACAAAGCCTCTCTGTGATCCTGATTAATGGAATATTTCACCTTTTACAGTGATGTTTGTCCCTGAAATCCCCTGTGAAGGTATCAGCTTATTACTGCTATAATTTAATCTGAAAACGACCCAGAATGCATTTGGTCTTTACACCAGGTTGGGTATCATCTGTAGAGGGGCCTCTGAATCACTTTCAGAACAGGGAGGTTGTTGTCCGCTCTTGCTCCATTGACTACCATGCTGCCCGGTTAAGGAGTAGATACAATTACATACTTTTTCCCAATCTGTCCCTGAGCTAGCTTGGAGTGTCTCCAGTGTGAGTGTGTGTAGAGTGCACATGTCACACATTTCGTACAGCATGTCCCTGCTTGCTGCTGGAGTTATTGCAACATTTTGGGTTTTCAGGCTGGAAGCGTGATCCATCTTTTTTTTATAGCTGGCTTTGCTTTAGTGCTTTAAAGAAGGTGGCCGGGTGACCCCAGTTTTGACAAGCAGAAGCAATGTCTTACTGGTGGAGGGGGGCAATAGTAACATGTTTTTTAGCCTGCCTAAAAAAATCTAAATCAGTTGAAGTGTACACTTAAAAAAACTATGTTTTGTACTGCTTTGCTTTGAGAGCTCTTTTCACAATAGAGTTGTTGGATCCATGTATGCTCGGCCGAAAGGAACCGAACCACCTTGGCAAAAATAGTAATTAAACTTATACTCACAAATCCCTTCTTCTGTAAGGTCACATTAGGGTTTTTGTCAATGGAGTTTGGTGACTTTCGTAAGCGCATCGGTAACAACTTCATGTTCTTGTTGGAAAGGGCTGTCTGACGGCAAGGTTAAATGGTATTCATTTCAAATGTAGCGTCTTTTTTAAGGTTGTTTTTTCTTGGATATGCCTATTTGAAAAATATCCAAACTATTAACTTTGTAACATATCTTACACATCAAAATGTACATATATATATATATATCAATATATAAACATAGTGAAATGCAATGCAATACAATTGATGTTGGTGTGTCAGAAATACAAATAATAGCACAGAAATGTGATCAAATGACACATCAGTCTTAATTAGAGGTTCCCCAAAGCGATATTCAAACCCGCAAACAAAGTAAAGAGGCTTGCACTGGTTACATAACATTATACCAATACCAGATCAAACATTAACAAATGAGTTAAGGTGGCACAGCATTGGAAATATCAGGGTCAGCTGAGCTAAAACCGGAACAAAGAAAGATTTTCTTTGAGGTAATACCTTTGTTTATGCATTTAGGCACACATGAGTTCATTAACTAAGAAATATCCATCTGGTTTCCAATTACAGCAATTTGTTCTCCTTGTAAGTGTGTCAGACATGTTGAGTAATATCGGTTACATGACGGCCAGAGAAATTGCAATGCCTCGATGCTCTGACACTTCTGTGTTTATACATTTGAGAGCTTAACTGAAAAAGTGTCTCTTCAGTAATACACAGATGAGGCTGCTTATGTTGCTTCCACATAGGGATGAGAGTTGAAGTATTTACTTTCTCCATATAACACAATACCTAACAGCTTCACATTTCACTCTAACCTGACACAACTGCTCCTTGGAGCTGTAGATGACAAGCGTAGTTTTCTCACTTGATTAACCTTTGTTCGAAACAAACATCTTTATATTTATTCACAGTTACTTTTCCTCACTGCGAACCTGAAAGACTTATTCTCACAGCTGGTCTTCCTATTCATGATAACTGTGTCAGCTTTGCACTTGTTTAGTCTTTGTTTGACTGTTTTCATGTTCTTTTTATCTTGGCCTTCCAGGTTTGCTCATTCTGGTTGTGCTACAAACAAAGTGGAATAGAATAGCAAAAGCAAAAGGATTTCTGCAAGAACATGGCAGATGGCACAAAGGATTAGTCACTTCAAATCTGAGCTTTCTAACCTCAGTGACATACAAGTGTACTCCAGGACACTGTTACTTTTCTGTTAGGTGTGGTTAAAGAGGCAACAGAGCACACTTTGGAGCACACTCATTAGTTTGTGTTTCATAAGTGGCCCAGTTAATGGATTTATTTCCTTTTCAATTGATGCCAATCCTTATTTTCTATAGCAATAGCTGTAAATGGCTATGACTACACGGTGGATTGAGAGGAGGGGGATCTTTTGATATTCAGCCCTTTGTGTCTTGCTTCCATTAATGACCACAGTGCTGACCTGAAACCAGCTAATCAGCTCTTTCCCATGTTGTTCCACAGCTCATTTGTACTGCCCTTAAACCAAACAAGTGTTCAGCATATTTGCACAGGTCAGATTCAGTCTAAATCTTTATCTTGGTTGTTTAGATGCCGCTGGGATGCATGTGTTTATCATATCCTGCTTTTACACAGCACTATTAAGACTCTAATTGGCTTCTCTGATAAAAAAAAAAAAGCATATTATTTATTATTCGTCAATAGCACAGTCACTGGTTTCATTTAACTTTTCTTGTAGTAAGCTTTATTTAGATAGAATAGATTTATTACACACTTTTCATGATGTGTTGCGCAATTCATGCCAAAATAGTGCAACCACACAAATGGCAGCTTGAGACTGAAAAAGGTTTCATTTCATCCAAAACATTCAGCAACTACATGGACAGTCTGTATTTTGTTTAGCTTGTCGTTAACACCATCCTCTCAGTCTTCATAGATGCAATGATGAGTTTCCCCCTGCGGGCATGTGGAGGAGGATGCTTTGCTTAAAAAAAAAGGAATGGCCTTGTTGCAGAGCAAAACAACCAGACGAACCCTTTCAAAATCAACACCCCACAACCCCCCCCCCCCCCCCCCCCCCGCCCTCACCCTTCCACGCTGCAGTGAATTAATACCATGCTGGCATGTTCCGGTTGCTCTGACCGGCGGGATAAACACTCAGTTGCCTGTTCAATGTGGCACATGCACTCCGAGAGCACCATACACACCTTGACCTTCCTCTCTGTTCTGCCCACTAAGCCCCTCCAGCCACCTCTCTTCCTCCTCCTTCTCTTCCTCGTCCAACATCGCTCCAGATATATTCTCCATTCCAGCCCATGCCAAAGCTCAACTCTGCCCCGAGGCCAAATCCACCGCTTTCACTGTCCAAATCCCTCTGCCATATGAGTGAAATAACAGCAAGGCCCTCATCATGGCGCTAGAACTGCCAATCTGTCCTTCCTACCATTGTGTGTCTGTGTTTTTCCACTTAAAAAAAGATCTTATTATCTTATTATTATTATCGTTATTTAAAGATGTTCCATTTCCTGTTTTGTCATTAGATGCATGCTATTTGTAGGATGAACATTTAATCTGATTTGCCTCAGTTATTGATGAATATCAACAGGATGGAAGACCTAAGCCTAAGCATGTCACTGCAACTCTGATAAGGCATTAATTCAAAATGATTGGTCATAGCACCACGTATAACACCATTCAGCCAAATAAATCCAGTGTTGTCAGTAGAATGGGTTTAGCTGCTGGATCACATGCACATTGCCCCTTGTATACTCCACACATCTCTCTTCTTGTTTATCCCTCCTTGCACTCCATGCTCCCTCCCTCTCTCACCATAAATCTCTCATTCACAAATAGAGGCCAACAGAGGCTCAACTGATGTGATGAGATTATTATTTTTCTGATTACAAATCAAACTCAGCTTAGATAGCTATAAAAACACAGCTGCCCCCACCACTCTGTTTGTTACATCCTCTCTCCTCTCCTCCCCTATTTGCTATGGCTCCTCCCCTCCTGCCTGATATCTCCACCCTCTTGTGGACCCTGGCCCCTCCCCAGCCACTTCTCTCCCTTACAGCCACATCTGAGGACCTGCTTCATTCACTCCAGCTGCACAGGTTCTATAGCCAGTGAAAAAAGAGAGAAAGGGGGAGAACAGAAGAGGTACAAGAGAATATTAGCAGCTGCTGGAGAGGGGGAAGAAGACAGGAGGTGAACAAGAGAGGGTTTCTGTTCAGTGTGTTGCTTTGAGTCAGGGTGCGAGGGTAAGGTGAAGAAGAGATAAGACAAGTCTTCAGGAGCGGGACCACTCAGGAAGTTTCCTTCAACCTCCAAGGAGGTTTTTAGTGATCTTCGGCAGAGACCCCTACTTTCTGCTGGGAGTCAGACCCCCAGGATCCAAAGTCATGGAGCCCTCTGTGTCTACCCAGGTCGAGGAAAAGCCCAAGGAGAGGAAGAAGATCCAATTTGCTGTGACAACTGAGGTGGAGGAGAAGCCCAAGGAAAGGAAGAAGATCCAATTTGATATGTCATCTGAGGACGAAGACGAGCCCAAGGAGAGGAAGATCCATTTTGATATGCCGGCCTCTGTGCCCTCCAACCTGGACCCTCGGCAAGTGGAGATGGTGAGGACAGATTGGTGTTTGAGCCAGAGAGTATTCTGTTAGAGCTGTTTGATTTTCATTTGAAGTTTTTCACACATTGATTTCTTATTGTCCAAATGTGTCAATACTTTCCTTCCAGTCATGAAGACAGGGTGCTTCCTTATTTAATGTAGCTATGAAGTGCTGTAGCATAACTGACCAAGCGTCTCCACTCTAGAGCATCATAACTCTTCACCACCTTCTGCAAGTCAGTTTGCTGGGTGCCAATCTGCCACACGATTGAGAAATCATGATGACATTTCCTTTTTGCTGTTTCCTCATGAGATTACTGCCTTGCTGTCTCATCTTGATCTGTCTAACAGTGTGTACGAAAGTCATTATCTTGCGTATGAAAGCCTTTTGTAACAGAGCAGCGACAACAAGCCCTTGACATTTTGTTGCTCACACTGTTTATAATGACTTTTTTTTCATCTTTGGCAACTTGTTTTGCTTGTGCGTGACCTTGGTTTTCGGAGGTTTTCTTAGTACAATTCATCAGCATTGCTTCGCCCACAGAGATATGTAAATGCCTGCCTGTCAAATTCTGTGAAATGTTTTTTGCCCAGGACAAATCTGAAGGTTTTTTTTGGCTCTAATGCTGGTGGCTCCTATTTTAGAGCAGAGAAAGTGGGACAAAGTAAGAATCGTTTGGAGCTGAGGTAGATCGAGGCCAATGGCTCATCCCTCATGAGAGCTTGAGGAGAGATTGGGCGCGAAAGCAAGAGATAGATATGTTCTATATGAAGGAAAGCAGAGACAGAAAGATACACAACCCAATATCTAGGTCCACCTGTCTGGGGACAGTTCCCTCAGTAGCTGTCCCTGTTTCACAGCTTGCATTCAAAGAGCCTGAAACCATGCTCCATAATCCCCCTGATCATCATCATAAACACTCATACCTTGTTTGTTTGTGAGAAGTAGTTTATAATTTCACTTTTTCAAGGCCCATTTTCTATTCCAGGCTTTCTTGAATCAAGTATAACTTTCTTGCCTTACCAGCTTTTAACCTTAATATTGTTGTAAACACATTTGAGATGCTAGTGCTGCATTATAGACTAAAGGACTTGCTAAAATGGAAATGTTTTGCAACACTTCACATGACTAACACTCACATTTACACATAAGCACTTGCTCTCCTCCTCCCCCTCGTTTTTTCTCCATCTCTCATGCCCTGTTATGACGCTCTGATCCCTATCATCTCTTCTAAGAAATGACAGGATATTAATCTACCATATGTGCGCTTCATATTCTCTCACTTCCTTTGGTTTTGGGGGGGGACCTTCTTTCGCAATCACCTGATGGTCAAACAGTGATCAGCTATATTTAGGCTTGTTGGCTGGCTCTCCTCCAGCAGGCCGGCATTGGCCTTTTACCTTCAGATAGGTTGTGAGTGTGCTTAAGCTTCTGTGCCATTGTTGCTGCTTTACGAGACACCTTTGTCATTCAGAAGCCTCAAGTTGTTGTTGATCCATCTTGATGTGTGTATGTGATTGTGTTGGCAGGCGGATACATGTTCAGGGGAGAATGTGTTTATACATGCTTAAAAGCAGATAGCATCTAGCCGGTGGCTGAGGGGAGTCTCTGGGGACGTGTGGGTGGGCAGGAGTAACGTTTAATGACACTCAATTCATTCCCCTCCCTAGCAATTACTGTCGCCCACAAGTCCGTCTTTGTTAATGAGCCGCACTGACTGTACCATTCTTCCGAACTTCTTACACAACCCATAACTCTTCCTTACTGTTCTTTCCAATGGCATTCAAACCCCAAAACCGCTATCGACTGTAATGCTGGGGCCTTGTTGCTATGGGGACAGGTTGCACAACTATGTTGCCAAAAGCTCCCCCGCGGTTTGCATCTTAAAGGTCAACTTTAATGGACAGCACTGTGTGTCTCATAGGTGGTATGCATTGGTGCTTACATGTGGATATATTCTGTATGTGTGAATGCTCTTTGTTGGGTTGTGTGTTTATGTAAATACATTTCCATACCTCCCACTCAGTGAAAGTATTGCACATTGTGGGAGAAAAACAGCAGCCATTTGTACATTCCTCCATAGGTGTAAGATATTATTCCTGGACATGTATCTCCTGTTGTTGTTAAATGTTTATTTTGAAGGAATCCATTCTACTTTTAATATCTGCACACATCTACCATAAACACCCCAACACGTTTTTACTTTCCATTTTAGGTGAATTAGATTTTGTTTATTGTGCTGAAAGCTTAGAAAATGTACTTTTTCTTATGTACAAAATTATCTTAAAGGTAGGGTAGGTAATTTTGGAGAAACCAGCTCGAGATCGCTAGAATTTGAAAATACACAGCCGGAACAAATCTGCCACTTCCTTACAGAGCCCCTCCTCCAACACACACGAACGCGCACATGACCAATGAGGGCACGAGATAAGTTTGTGCACAGATGGAAGGCTGACAGGCAGGTAGGCCATCCAGTTATTTTAGCCGGGCCGGCTAAAATGATTGGTCGTGCTTTTTACAGTACTACAGCTTCCACAGATGACATTTTGTTATGGATTTTTTGTCAAAGCACTTAAGATATTCATTGCTATCGGGATGTTAAGAGCATTCCATGGAATATAACAAAAAGTGTATCTCGAGCCGGTTTCTCAAACGTACCTACCCTACCTTTAATTAACAATTTTTAGGATAATCTTGACTTGCCAACATAACATTTTCATGCAAGTGAAGTTTTCTCACTTAACTGAAAGACTTTTAACACCTTTTTCTCACTTTCAAGTGCCCTGATCAGAATGTTTTGATCACATTTACATATTTGGTTTTCCAACGCCATCACTGCCAGCTCGGAGTAGATCTGCAGTTTTGTTCTGCTCTCTTAGTATCTGACATAAATTACTCATTATGAAACAGACATAAGTAAAGTTGTGTTTTTTGCAACAACACGGAGAAGCACATGGTTTGTGTTTACCATCCCTCCCCCACAACACACGAATACACACCAATCCTACGTGCTTAGCAAGTGATGTAGGGTAATGTGCACCACGGACAGAGATTAGGGTCATGGTCCAGGCGCTGCATCCGTGATTCCCTCCAAGTCTGCCTCCCTTTGGACTTAAAAATCAGACATCTCTCTATGTCTCTCCTCTTTAAACTCAATTTGATCTTGTCATCTTGTGTTGATCCTCTCAATTGAAAGGAAATAATAATGTGAAAGGCAATATTAAAGGGCAGGAAAGGGCATCAATCACTTCACACAATCATCTTTATTAAGGGAGTTATGTATGATTTAGGTTCCTCTGCCCCACCTACTCTCCTCACACTATATCTGATCCCACCCCCCTTCAGCCCTCCCCGGTCCAGTCTCTGGGTTAAAAGTCAAACAACGACCTTTGATGCAGTGTGTGTTTGTGGGTAAACATTAGCGGTCTGGGGGACTATCAACATGCACTTCCAGAAAGAACATATTTTGGTTGGCACAAAGCAAGAGGGTGCAGTGATCTTTCCCTGCACGGATAGAATGTCTCTGTAGTGGTGTGACCCAGCCCGATGACATGTATGTCCAATTTATGAACACTTGTGTTTATTTTCAAAGTTGCATGCCCAAAGCAGTTTGTTGATGTTTGTAGTGGCAAAACTAATAGGGAACGGATTTTGCTGAAAACCACAGATTGTTATTACAATTTATACACAATCAATGGACCTCTGTCCTCTGAAGGCTGCTATGTGTTTGTTCCTCCTTGTTTTTGACAGTCCAGGCATTTGATTAGTAAATGACTGCAGAACGATTTTCATGTCAGCAGTTTAGCACAAAGGTTCCTTTCATGGTACGTTCCCACTTTGTTTAAGAAATGCATGTGCATGAAAGCCAGTTCATTCTACTCATATTTTTGTCTCAAAATGATTTTGTCCTGATGAGTGTATTAACTAAACATCTAGTCATGGCTGTGTGTAATGTGTAAACACTTTATGAAACATAAATATTGAGCTTGGATAGAGCTTTGATGACACTGTAAACAGTGAGTTGAAAATGCACCACAATGCCCGCTGCACCTCAGGCACCGGCGTCGGTCACAGAAGCTGGTGGAGGCCAGCAATGATGTAACACACACAGCCCCCTTAGCCTTCCACATTATGGTCAACACATCCTCTGTTGTCAGGTGGTGTCACTATCCCACTCAGTCACTCACTTGTCCCTTCAGGGGTCATTGTTAATCTAACCAAGTCAAGCTGTAGTGAGCACATACAGCCCCATATGTGCATGAACCCATCTCTAACTGACCAAACATATCCTTGTATTCTCTATCTGGGACTGTGTTGATGAATGAAAGTGAATCGAGCGAGTATTACTCAGCAGGAAGAGAAATTGGGCTGGATAAAATCAGAAGCTGCCTTGTCACCAAATTTCGTCAGACATCATATTATAGTAACTGCCTTCTTCCCTCCTGATTTCCCTTTTCCCATTGTGAGGGGCTTGAGTCCCTTTAGCTCTGTTCAAAGAGCCACAGGATGGTCAGACTGATGTAGGCATATTGAGATGAGCACTGAGGCGTGACTCAAAACAAATGGGATTGGTCTTGATCGCTGTTTCATCAACACTGAGAAGCCATGGCATTATGTTATTGCTGCCGTGGCCGTTGTAATCTCTGATTTTTGTTACAGCAGTTGAGACCATTTTTTTTCATGTTTATCCGCCTGCAATTTAATGAGCTTACACAGGGGCACACCAGGTCATCTTCAATGGGCTTTGGGAGCATGTCCCAATTCACAAACAAGGTTATGCACAAATATCAAAGTAACACATGGTTGTCGTGCTGAAACATAAAGTTATATGTGCAATGTGTAAACTGATGATAGATTAGGTGTTTTTAGATTTCAAATGAATGCTAATTCTAAAAGAAAAAGGTGTTAACAATGATAGAAACATTGTGGTGCCAACAGGAAAACACAACCCTAGAGTTAAATATGAAGTGATGTTAAAATGTACACTTAGGGGAACTGCATGCCATTTG